TGTTCAATGTAATATAACATTCAAATTGGAAATTTCATTATTTTTTGTTATTTTGAAATAATTGTAAATTTGTGTTCAATGTATATAACATTCAAATTGGAAATTTAATTATTTTTTTTTATTTTACCCGTATGTCGAGTATGGAACTATTTTTTTCATATGAATCATTACAAATACCATTTATCAAAAATAAATATTGAATATGGAAGATTTATAAAGAACAAATATTGAACAATGTAAAGTAAATGAAAATATTATTCATTTCACGTACCTGTCTAGTCGTCATTTAGGGAAATTTGATTGGTACAAAATTGTCGAGTATGCCCTACGACTCTGCACCGACCACACTTATGCGGTCGAGGAAACTCTCCGGTAGATGGTATTCTAGATGTACTTGGACGTCCAGGACCACGCGGTTCAACTGCTGGTGGTAACAAATTATGAAATGGGAGAATGTGCTCGGGAACTTCCCACTCGGCTTCATTCGGCAGAGGAAATATAGTCTCGGCATATGCTGTTCTCCAAGACTCAGTCGTATAATACAAAGAGCATAACGTTCTCACAGCAAAGCCTCGATACATGGCCACCGCAACTGCATGCTCACATGAAAAACTCTCCAACTGAAATCACGTATAAGTGCATGTGTTATCAGTCAAGTCCACCATATATGCCGTATTACGTGCACATTGCACGAAGAAGCGAAACTCGTCTAGTGCTTCCACATTCAACTTCCTCGCAACCTCTGCCGCCTTAAACAGTTTCTCCTCTTGAGCTGGGGCCAACACGCTAGTGCAACTCTTTGATGCCGCACGTCGGTCATGAAACCACTGTTGTAACTTGTTACGAATGTTCTCAATCATTGCGAGAATTGGTAACTCTCGATCCTTCTTAAACAATGCATTGAGAGACTCCACGTTATTCAACATCATCATGTTGTATCGACATCCTGGAGAGTATAACCGTGCCCAATGTTCGATCCCCATCTTCGTTAGATACTCCAACGCTGGTAATAATTTACTTCCTATCTCAAGCATGAACTTATTACACTCTTCAACACTGTAAGTTTCGGCTGCTATCCTAAACAATGAAACGATGTCTGTGCCCCGATACCTAGTCTTCAAATTACCTTGTATATGGTACATGCAATACCCGTGATGTGCCCCGCGAAAAACTTTAGCGATACCGTTTAATATAGACTGTCGCCGATCGGTTACAAAGGTAAGGTCTTTGACTTCCCCGATCACTTCCCTCAGTTTAGAAAAGAACCAACACATGGACAGATCATTCTCGCTGTCGACTATGCCGAATGCGATAGGGTAAATTTGGATGTTGGCATCTTGACATATAGCAATAATTGATTTGCCTTGATATTTAGCTTTCAGAGTTGTACCATCAACTAGAATTACTGGTCGCATTGCATTTCGAAAACCTCGAATATATTGTCCGAGAGCCATGAAGAAATACTTAAAACAATTATCGCCCTCGTCTCAATAAAAAATGTCATGCCAGGATTAGTTGTCCCCATATTATGGCAATACCTAGCTAATTTAGCATAGCTCTCTTCAGCCGATCCCATTGAATACTCCAACGCACATTCTTTGGCCTTCCACGCTTTCTGGTAGCTCATGACCACTCCGTACTCTTGACGGACGTCGTTAATGATGTCCGAAGGTCTATAGATCGTCCGTGGATCCTGATACTTATGCATTATCTATCGACCAATAAACCATGCTCGAGCTTGCCCGTGATCGTTTCGAAGAATTCCCACTTCGCAAGTATGTTCCCGTGAATACTTGCGAATTACGAAGCACTCATTCGTGTCCATCTTAGTTGCTCTCAAGCGCCAATTGCAACTGTCTTCGACGCAAGCAACTGTCAACAATGACTTGTTTGATTTCTTTACCTTGAACTCAAAGTTATATTTTAATGCAAGTCAGTGCACAGCTTCCTGCAAATCTTTCTTGGTTTCAAACAGTTGCTCGACCCGCAAGTCCTCATCATCGGGAGCCACACGGAAAGAATTGGAGGACGGTCCACTTGTTCCAACCTGTGAGCTCCCACCCGGCTCGTGTCTCTGTCGGGATAAAGCGATCAAATTCTTATTTGTAAACTCGTTTATATTCTCATTGTCTTCAACTGTCGACGGAATTCTGCGAGTAACAGCGACATCACGATCAGAAGCAACTGTCTCAGGAATACCCACATCATTCGCAGGAACTATCTCCACTGTCTCCCAAAAACCTCGATCATTATTATCCGCCCTATCTGAATCTTCGCGTTCACCTTCGATAACATCCTTCGTAATTAAAGTCACACCAAGAACAGTCGGAGTCCGATGCATTTTATTCAATTCTAATAGATAATTCAATTCAGCATCATTAGTAACGAATACCGGTGGCATCGAAATGGATGAATCCCCATAACCGTTAAATAGATATCTCAATTGCATATCGTATTGAGATTGATCGACATTCAGCTTATTTTGCAAATCGTGGTACATTTCTAAGTATGGTGTACTCTCTGTTATGGAAATTGCAATACAACCACGTATGTCACTCGTCCATCTCCATTCCCACCGATTATTTTCATTCAATTCGAAATCACCTAAATAACACACGAGAATTATCATATCTGCATGAGAAAATGGTTTTAATCAACTTCATTTATTAATTATAAGAAAAAATCAGTGCCAACAAAAATCAGTGCAGAGTCGATTAATTGGCTTTTTAACAGCTAAGCAGTCGGACTGTTTTCGACTGTTTGGCTGTTAACAGCCAAAACAGCCAGTTTGGCTGTTTTTGCGCAGGAGAATACGGTTCTAAAGTTATACATCTGTTCAATTTTATTTTTTTTATAGGTAAGATCTGTTAAAAAAAATTATGCTAACTACTATGTCGACATAAAATTTCTCTATTCAAAAGTATACTAATTTACTGAAAACGAAATTAAACATGCGTAAATGTACTTACCAATTTGAAGTAATTGATATGAAAAAAATTTTTGACTTCAACGTTTCAAAGTTTTTCTAGATTTTGAGGTTCAAGCAAATGAAAAGATGAAATTTTTTCCTGTGTTGGAAGCTTGTTTTGAAATTTTTATAAATGGGGAAGTGTTTGATTTTCAATTATTAACTAAAATGATAGTATAGTCCTTTCAACAATATATTGTTTTGTAATTGTACAAAACATTTAAGGACGTCTTTGTCTTTTATCATACAAGAGGCCAATGTCATAATTTTCATGATTTTGGAAGTCAAAGTGGAATTTAGGTCCTTTGACTAGGTCAAACTTAAAAGTATCCCCTGGTAGGTAATTAAATTAAAATTTAAAAAGTAGATTTGACCGTGGGCGATTATAATTAATCACCTACCCAATATGCATTTAAAAGCAATTTAATTGAAATATGTTTAAATTACTACTTTTACTCAATTTTAAATTTAGCACTAGATGTGTTGAAAAAGTGGTGTGAAGAAGTATTTTGTTTGTGAGCCTGGCTCGGCCGTCTCATATTTGATACATGTTTTCAAAAAAATTGCAAGTAATGTCAAGTCTATATATATATTTGTGATACTCCACCAGAAGTAATATTCTTATGATTCTAATAGTTGCTTTTTCAGAATGCAAGTGCAAGTTTTGGCTCTGAATAGAAAAATTGAATCAGTAAATCGAGAGAGGGAATATCACCAGGTAATACAAAAGAATTTTCCAGTTTAGTTCAGACAGCATTCTAAAAGAGAGCCCAACTTCTAATTAATCAACCAGCAGCAGAATCAAACACTAGAATTAACATCCATGCCCGATTAATTCTAATGACTTTAAGATAAGCAAAAGATCGCTGGGTGAAGTTCTGTAAAAATGCTTGGCAAGAATTCAAAGATGGGAGTGACTGAAAAATATGATGCTTCCGAAGAGTTCAATGCACGATTTGCACCAATGGGATTGCTAGAATATTGAAAAAGTAACATCAATAGACAAATCTGAAAACCCAATAAAACTCTGGATTTGATCAACCAAGAAACACCTTGATTTTGTGAAACAACGCAAATAAACAACATTTCAGTTAAGAAGGTTTACATTTGACATCACATGGACCTAGACAAACAAGATTGAACGGAAACTTCTCCCAGACGTTTATGCCTTCTGAAATCTGCATTGGCAATCAATTTTCAGCATATTAGATAATTGTCAGATCTACATAACCTTTTTTTCTGAAGGGGAAGGGGTGCTTCAGAAAGTAGACCCAACGGCAGTTGATAAGGAGAAAAGACTCCAGATATTTCTAAATCGTCAATTAAACAAAATTATGTCATCTACAAATATGAATATGCTTCTCTTCGGTTGATGGAATAATATTCACCATTTAATTACCAAGCCAGATGAATGGCCATATATAGATGGAACGATGCCGGCTTCGCTGAGTTTGACATGATTACTTTAAACAGAAATATACCGATAATAAAGATAATAAAGGCCAACTATGAAACTGACCTTTATTTATTGCCATGAAAGACCATCATAATTCAAGCAGTATCTTCGCGACCATAATCGTATATTATCTCAATCTGCAGTAGAAACAAAATGTTATTATAAACAAGATGGGACTACAAGCATGATTCATGGGGAACAGAAAAAATTGTGACACCAGATAAAAACAATTTAACTCCTACTACAAGTGAAAGAAGTAGCACAACTCGTGATTTAACTTGGTGGAATAAACAAAAGACAAACCACAATTTCGCGAAAAGAAGTAACTGATTGAAAATTATAGAAGTTTCGAATAAAGAGAAATTATATCGCTTCCCCTCCCAACACCATCTCTCAATGTCACAAGTTTAAGGGCCAAGAGACTTCATTGCATGAGTTTTTATAAACATCATACTAGAATGGTAAAGAAATATGCACCGTGCTTATATTTATAGTGTGCAAACATTATCTCAACAAGGAGTAAGATATAATCTCAGACGTGAAATTAAAGAATGGATAAACATCTCTCTCTCTCTCTCAGAGAGAGCAAATGGACTTCTTGCGAGAACTAATAACATCTCTGGCAATTGCTCGGGAGATGAGAAAACGAATGAAAAAAGGGAACTGTGCACCATTTACCAGGTGCATCAACTGGGTTCAACCTAACGACAGTGAAAAATGAAGATGCCTTGAATTCTCCGAAAAATAGATTAGAATAATGAAAAAGACAAAAAGAGAGATCATATGGTGCAAAAAAAACAACTGGACATGCAAAACCAAGATGAAAATCAAAGATCCGAATTGGACCTCAAGGCTAAATAGAGAGTAGTCAGATGAGCACAATTCAATCTATATATCTTTTCTAGTAAAAGAAATGATCAGTTCTCGAGCTTCAGGTAAACTTCTTATCCATAAATCTTAGGCCTGGGCACACTCCAGACCGGTTCTTTTAAGTAACAGGACCGAACCAATTTATAGTTCAGGTGTGTTACACTGAGAAACAGCTAAACTGAACCGGTTGGTTTAGTTCAGTGGATTCTCTTCTCCTTTGGATGTGTAAAATTCTGGGGAGTGAAAAAGACTGTTTAATTAAACGCTCCTTAACGTTACGACACTGAAACATCCCTGAAACCACTCTTCAAGATCAATATCTAAGAAATCAAAATAAATGACATTGCTCCAAACCCAAAACACATGCATCTGTATAAATTTTGTGTGGTTGGGGGGGGGGGGTAGGGGTAGAGAGAGAGAGAGAGAGAACCTTATACTATATACATACCCAGCTACATATGTAAGACACACGGCCTTTGCCAGCAATGTCTCCAATGATATTGGCTTAGTACCCTTTTCCAATATCATGGCATCTAAGAAGCTCAATTGGGAGCTTTAGTTCATAAAATATGGAAGAAACTGAGGGTAATAGAGAAGGAAATACAAGATGAAGCAGGTGGAGTGATAGACTCGAGACCATAAATTTGGAAGAGAAACACTAATAGTAAAACAGAAAAAGCAAATCTGAAACGATAATGAAATTTCTAGAAGAGAAACTGAAAAGGAAAAATGCAGGGAAAACTTTAAGATTCCTCCTATAATTCCAGCTGAGTGGGTCCTTTCATTAATGGTTTTTTGCTTCAACCACAAATGGGCAAAAGGTGGAACATAATTACGTTTATGGGCTTTCTTTTGGTAAAATCTTTTTCTTTTGGGTTTAAAGCCAAATCCAAGAACCGGACAGTTTGGTCGGGTTCTAGATTTAAAAGGACTAAAAATGACATCTTATGAAGCAGAACTGGACAGAATCAGCCAGTTCGGTCCAGTTCTGACTCAGAACCAGGTATTGGTCCACCCCTAACAAAATAACCATACTGATGTGACGCAAAATCAGTAGGCAAACATAACTGAGAAAGCAGTAACCAAATGAATGTAAAAGCTTAACTCACAAATTAAGACCTATTATGTAGCACTAGGTATTCAAATCTAAATCATTCTCACAAGTAATCAGATAAGACATAGAAACGGAAAGGAATAATCTCAATTCAAAATGTTAGGAAGAGGAAAAGTAGATATCATTCGTTTTTTGGAAATATAGCAACAAAAACAAAAAAGGACATAATAGCAAATTAAATATTTAGGCAGTTATTCCAAGTACAGGAACAACAAATATCTAACCAGTTATCCAAAGCATGTTTTAAGTAAACGTTACTAAAGCAACGTTGACAACAAAATTTTAATCAATTACCCCTTCAGGTGGAGTTGGGTTACGGCAAAACTTGCTGCCACCAGGAGCCCAGGGAACTGTTCACCAAAAAAAATAAAATAAAAATTTAAAATTGTGAGCCCTGAGCAGAATGAACCAAGTTAAACTGAAGAAACACTATAAATACATCGCACAATATTGTCTTTGTATTGATGCAAGTATAAACAAGAAAAAGTAAAACTGCAAGGCTGGTAGATATAAGAATGCTTCAACAAATTGAAACTTTAAAGTTAGACCAAAATTAAAAGATTTTCTTTTCACATCTAATAATCATCTAATAATGCTAATAAAATAGCATATACATCAGTTCCTTATTGTCTCCCTTTCATCTGCTGAAGATCCAAATACCTGTCCTATGATGCATAGATAAGCCTAAAAGGAAGATATCAACCATAATAAGTGTTTACAGACGGAAGACCATTAAATAGGAAGTATCAATTCCAACTCTTCAGATCCAAAATACAATATAATACTACATAAAACTACCAAGGATATCATTCATAAAGCTAAGTCATTCAAAAAGAGGATTTAATAAAATGAAAGTCTTAACAATATCATATAAACTTTCCAAGGATTTAAGAAAATGATATAGAAGTGTCGAAAAGTATTATTTTGAGGGGGGAAAACTCAATTAAAGTCTTGTTTTCTTCAATTCATGTCATATTTAATTTTATGTTTGCATCCCATGATTAAAATCCGCCTTATCGAAAGAACCAACAAGCTCCAATACACTTACCAATGTAAGGATCAGGATGCTGCCACTTATTGTAGGTTGCCTCACCAGCAGTAATCATTCTATCTATGGTCTCAATATTATCCTGAAAGCCCAAAATAATAGGCAAAGCAATTAAAATATAATATAGTCTTTAACTTTATGGTAATCAATCTAAAATCTTCAAGAAATGCAACTTCCTTTCATTTTCATCAGGAATTCATTAAGTTGAGTCATCATCAAGCATTCTGAGGAAGGTAAACAATTTCTCATAGCTAAGTATCCATTCTTTTCTGTCTAGATAGCAATATTTTCAAACCACTTAGAGGCCTTTTTTTTTTTTGGAAGCAAGCTAGGACTGGAATCACATTTCCAAGTAATTTCTCATTTCTATCATTACCACATCTATCCCATTCCTTCCCAAATACATTCCTGCATACCAGACACCATTCATATCCTATATATCTTTCAACATCAAAAACCTAATTAGGATACTGCCATATAAATCACAAATCATGCCCATCTACTTACTAAAGCAACAACCAGAAAATATGTAGTCAATACACTAATATTTAAACCATTGCAAACAAGAAAACCATTAAATTTGATGAAACTAGTCTGAATTATCCAATCACTAAAAGCCCGCAGCAATTTAAACATCCTAGTACCAGTACGGAATTGTTTTTGCAAATGTTCACCATTTCTCATATCCGCCAAAACCTTATTTGATTCTCCAAATAATTATTTTTTTATTCCAAGTAGAAAAACAACAAAATCAGTGGGAAAGAGAACGAACCACGTTTCTGTTGGCTTCGAATTTCTCTCTGAGAGCATCGGCCTGAAACACAAAAGGAGAAATACAAAGGCTTCGGTTATTATCAATCTACAATGCATATAAATACATGTAATACACAGACACTTACACAATTACATATACGAATTCATCGAATGAACTGTACTAGGATCGCATTAATGTAAATAACCCTAAGATCGAGAGAGGAAAAAATTACGTCGGGATAGAAGAGATGGCGATGAACGGCCCAATTAAGAGTGTCCTTGAGAGCTCGTCTGTAGAGGATTCTCACCCTCTCCTTCTGTGCAGCTCGTCGAGCCAGGTAAGATGCTGAAGCCACGCTCATTCTTCTCACTTTCTCTCTCTAGAAGTTTCTCCCTTACTCCCACTATTCCACACTTTTTTATTACTCCGAAGTCCCTGAAGGCTGAAGCTCCGTATTTGTGTCACACGACGTCGCTTTGACTGGAACGCTTGCCTCCCAATTTTAAAGGCCCTTTGTTTGGGCCTCGCTGAAGAAAATCCATCTAAGCCTACCAGAAAAGAACAGGTGGGCCGGTTCCCCTATCGTAACTGAAAGTCCACATCGGCCTAGGGATGGCATACATGAGGGAAATTGACAGAAATGACACTACTTTCAATTACAGTTCTAGGTTCCAGATCAATAAAGTTAGGATATGGGCAACCAACAAATCCTTGGTTTTTGCATTTTTGCAACATTCCGGTTTAGTTCAATTTTTCCTTAGAGGAACCTAGTCGGGTTGGCTCAGTTTACGAGTTTTATTGAAGAAACCCAATCCAAATTGAAATAAGATTGATCGATTTGTGTTGATTCTGTTTTACGCCCAAATCAGGTTGGTTCAGATTGAAAATTATTCAAATCAAATTGTTCAGATCGATTTCAAGTTCATTCGAGTTATCCCTAATTAAGGTTGCTTTAACATAGGGGTGACACTGGACTGAGTCGAGTGAGCTTGTGGCTCAAGTGAAGATAGCAATAGAGTGGAAGGATCTTGGCTATAATTTTGAAATGTACTAATTTGTTAACTTGAATTTAGTTTGTAATCCTATAATGCAGTTAAGAAATGTCTATGGCTTAATTCGCAATTCATGGATTTTAATCAATTGAAAAATGAATATGCGGTGTGATGCAGAAGCCTGATGGTTTCCAACGAGGAGAAACTGATTTTCGAAGTTTTGAGGTTTTTTTGGAGCGAAAGTTGCATATTTTCCATGATCCATTGAATTCCTTTCAAATTATTGAAGTGATGCTGTTGACACATAAAAAATTCAGCCCAAATCGAACGGCCCAAGGAATGAAGCCAATTGGAGGATCCCCAAGTCAGATAGCCCAAAGGACGAAACTCAATCAAATAATTCAAGATGAAGGCCCAAATAGGGAGGCCCAAGAACGCGGTAACGCCATCGCCCAAGTTTGCAAGTCGCCCAGAATCTGAGCAAATGGAGTGTCATGCAGTCGCCCAGAGTTGTTACTCTATTCTCGCCCAAACCTTCAAGTCGCCCAAGGTCTTAACAAACATAAAGCGTTGTGGTTATCAAGAAGTGCAGTTATCAAAGCAGTTATTAAAGCAGCCATATCACGTTCCACGATTCAAGGAATTCAATCGAAAACGATTGAACGACGAAAAGTAATGGCAGCAGTTAAAAGAAGGCAGTTTTCATGACAAGCTGGCCATTATGAGGAAAGTGGGCAATTGCAGAATGATCAAGCAGTTTTTAGGCGATTGATCACAAAAAAGATCATCCATGGAGTATAAAAGGGAAAAAAGACATAGAGCAAGGGGCCCGAATCAAAAACTCTCAAACAGAGAACATATAATTTTAATTTCCTTAGCTTAGACTTAAACACTTTTTTCAGTAACTCGTGTGCTTGCACCCCTTGGAGGCATTTTGCTTTCGATTCCCAATTGTAAAGTCATCGCCAATAAAAGAACACCCCTTTTTGGGACTTTGCCTCAAGAGGTTTGTCCCTTACACAATCGTCTGATCCCTTTTAATTGTTAGCGACTAACCCGCGCGAAACAATTTGGCACGCCCAGTGGGACAGTGGTGTTTGGTGTTGAAAATACAAAAGGTGAAACAATATGCCTCAAAGATCCGATAAGGAAGCAACAAGTCAGGGAGAAGTCCAGTCTGTGGTCGAGCGATATGAGGAGCAGCATGCCTCTCCACGAATAGATGGACAGAATCAGAGCAGTAACAGTCGTTACGAACCAATGACGGAGTTGAGTCCTCGAACCATGTGTGCATTACTTGGAGACTCACACAAGACGTTGTTGAACAGGTAAATCTTCGAAGTATTCATAATATGGAAAGATTTACCCAAAATGGGAATGCACACTATGACACATGGCCAAACAACTAAACACTTTGAACGAAACAATGAATAAGTTAGTAGACCAAATATGTCAACCGGTTATACCTCTTGCAAATCACTTTCAAACTAGGACAATTGTGGGACATAATCCCTCAGTCCTAAATCCGAATCAAAGGGTAAAACCACTTTCTGGTCTCTCTATTTCAAACCAAGGGGGTACTGCAGTGCCAAATCAGAACAATGGTAGTGGTACGCCTAATTTGGTGGGTAATCCAAACATAAGAGATAATGTCTTAAACAATGGACAGAATACCCCACGTTTTAATGAGGGAATAGATGTTCAGGCTAATGGTAATGGCCCTAATCATGGTAACTTTGTTGCCAATCAAGGACCAAACATCAGGCCTCATGCAAATCAACCGGTTAACCAGCTTGTAGGAGTTCCATATGATCCCAACGTCATGTTGAGGAATCGGATTATGGAAATCGTACAGGATCAGATGCCTTTTGGGGTGCGTCCCGTCATTAGGCCGACGTACACGAAGCCATATCCTGTTTGGGTAGATCAAGCATATCCATGGCCGGTACAAAGTGCCAAAATTCTCACTGTTTACCGGTTTAGGAGAGGTGTCTACTCTAGAACACATAGGGCGATTCACATTGCAAAGTGGTGATGTAATCGATTACCATAAAATGAGGCTTTTCCCTAGTTCGTTAACAGGAGTAGCTTTCTCCTGGTTCATCAACTTGCCAGCGAACTTTGTTCAAACATGGCAACAATTGGAACAGTTATTTCACGCTCAGTTTTATAAAACTGAGTCTGAAGTCACTTTGGCTGATTTGACGAATCTACGTCAAATGCCAAACGAATGAGCAGAAAGTTTTCTCCAAATGTTCAAGATAGCAAGAAGCAAGCGTTTTGTACCTCTACCCGAAAAAGAATTTGTCAAAATCGCTCAGGACTGCTTGAGCTTTGATTTAAAAAAGAAATTTCAGGACAAGGAATTTCCTGACCTTTTCCAGTTGAGTGCGAATGTGATTAGGTATGAACGACTGATAAGAGAGGAAGAACAGATGAAAAATTCTAGTAAAAGGACTTATTACAAAGACCCAAATTTTGATGTTCATACCATCAGTGACGAGTCATACGACCAGGCCGAAATGTGTTTGGCCGAATTGATCAAAGGAGATACGTATACTTGTCCCATAATGGCCAAGCCTAGACCATCGGGCAAAGATGAGCCCATAAAAGATGGAAACATAAAGGCTAAAACGTTCTCGTTCGATGTAACCAAAGCTGACCTTATATTTGATAAATTATATAGGGATAAGCAAATAAAGTTGAGCGATAAGCACAAATCGCCAAACTCTGAACAAATTAAGGGTAAAAAATATTGTAAGTGGCATAATGCATGGTCACATTTGACTAACAATTGCTTGGTTTTTCTCCATGTATTGCAGGATGCTATTGAATCAGGACGAATTACGTTCGACGATAAGAAGAAGATGGCAGTGGATGAAAATCCTTTTCCACAGCCACTTGGAGTGAACATGGTGACGTCTGGATTCAAAAAAACAAGTTGCCAAAATTCAAGTTGGTCGTAGATGATGGAAAAGAGGATCCTAGACCACATCCCAGTGTCTTTGAACGAATCAAGGGGAAAGGACCAAAAAAGGACGAAGACGTCATGTGTGCAAGATGTAAAAGAGAAATGAATGGCAATACGGAGAAACCAGGGATATGGCAGCATCCCCATCGCCCTACCTTCTTCCCAAACACTCAGCCTAGTAGAGGGCGAGGTACATCATTCTATAGAGAACCGCCTTTTGAGAGGCAATTCAGGCCAGCAGATAATGGAAGAACATTCAGGCATTAACCTCGCCGGCCAAATGTATGACATTCATTGCAGTATAATGCAGGAAGGGCAATACCCTTCGATGAGATGACTAGAACCCAACAAAGGCGTTTCCAACGAAACTATGGACGGATGATGAGGCAGCAACAGGGAATGCCACATCCTAAAGCGCCTAAACTACTCAAGGTAGCCAATCAAAATGTCCTCAAAGATAGTGAAGAAACCGGTACAGATGAATCAATGAAGGAACTGCCAGAAACTTCTTCTGGGAGATCAAAGTTTGAGCG